GTGGCCTGGTGGTGAAATGCATCTTAAAGTTCCTGGTTCCATGCTAAACAGATCACACTGCAATAAAGCCAGGCACCATTATTTACTGAGACGGCATGGCCAAAGAATGGCATTATAGAATATCTATTTTCGGAGTTAAAAACAGGGCGCATACCTCCTCTTGCAGTCCAGCAGCAATTCAAGAGCGTTTCTGTTGGAAGAGACAGGCTCCAAGCTCCCTGGGGTTTTTATACCATCCTAACTCTTCGTTTCAAAATAGTCAGCAGGTTGATGGGCTCACGCCTCCCTAGCATTCCCTTTGTGATCTGGGTTGGGGGAATAAGTTGTCTGCACAACTGGGCTGCTTTTCTTTTCTTTTTTTTTCTTTTAGTTCAAATACATTTCCCCGTAGGGCTTCTTACAGCGCCCATTCCAAGTGGGGGCCCTTTGCAGATCTCAATGAATGTCTTGAGGCTTGTCTTTTATCAAGGTCCCCCCTGGCGCTAAATGTTCTCCGGTTAGGCACAGACATTGCGAAGCATAACCTATGGCAATAACAGTGTTTAATAGGATTTCCAAACAGAGCTCAGCACACAGGCCCCCGAGTTTGCAGTTTATAGCCACTGAAGTCCAAGTCACACAGTCATGGTGCCGTTGGGCTGGCGCATCTATGACACAGCCCTCACGATCTTCAAAAAGCTTTTCCCTAAGGCAGTGATTAAGGACAGCATAAACAGCAACGCGTACAATAGTCCGCAGGACTTTTTTACGCTCACGACGTGGCACTGGTCCAGTTAGTTCCACGCCAAGCCTCCTCCTACACTCCTCATAGCCGTCATCCTCGGAGTCCTCTTCAACAATTTGTATCGGCGTTGAGCAGAACCAAGGTGGGCCCAGTTCATCTTCGCTGCTTGATGCAACGCTGTCCAGGGCCTCTTGGTCCTCTAGAAAGGCATCGTCGAGCTGTCAAGAGATTTTCAGAAAAGAAACAGTGTAAATTCCCACTGCTTGTTTTTAAATTTACACAACCCCCCCGCCCCCCGCTTCCTAACCCCATTACACCCCGTCATCAACCGTCACTTCTTAATCATTCATTTACCTGAGCGACATCTTTTCCGTTCACCTTGTCCTCCGGTGACTCCCCCGAGCTGTGTTCACCTTCCTCCTCCAGGGGGGTGGACGACAAGAGGCCACCACACTCATCGGGGTGTCTCCCAAGCAGTTGGGTTTCAGGTTCCGGCGCATCCATCAACGGCTGGGCCAAAGGGCTCCCCTCAGTCGCTCCCTCCTCCTCCTCGGAACTGTCGCTGATGTAGCGCTTTCTCCGCGGATGGTCAAAGGCCCTTGGGGCTAAAACAAAGTCCGAAGTTCTCGACGGGGGTGGTGAAGGAGTCCATGTTTCCACGATTTCTAAAGCACGCGTTCCTGATAAAAGATGGCCTCTTCTGCCCCAGCAGTGGGACCTATGGGGTAATGGTGCTGCACTCTGATTGGCAGAGGGCGCTGGGAGGAGTTTTTAGAGGAGTCACACGACTCTCTTTTGGGTGGGTCACCCCGCCCTAGAACACCCCCGATTGGTCAAATCTGCTCTCGGGGCAGTCCTATATGACCGAAACCCATTGCGATTGGTAGAGGGCGGTGGGAGGACTTCTTAGAGGAGTCACACGACTCTCTTTTGGGTGGGTCACCCCGCCCTAGAACACCCCCGATTGGTCAAATCTGCTTTCGAGGCAGTCCTATATGACCGAAACCCATTGCGATTGGTAGAGGGCGGTGGGAGGAGTTCTTAGAGAGGTCACATTATCCACTTCCGGACGGGTCACCCCGCCCTGGAACATCCCCGATTGGTCAAATCTGCTCTCGGGGCAGTCCTATATGACCGAAACCCATTGCGACTGGTAGAGGGCGGTGGGAGGAGTTCTTAG